TTGAATTCACACATTCTCTTTATTTAAATATAGCACAAATTAAATATGTATGAATCTGTTATAAACCTACTGCCTAAAATTAAAATTGTTAATGAATACCTATGAGGTAACTAGCAACACGGTCAACACAAATTCCCAAACGCTCAGGATTTTTCTGCTGGTTGCTGAGAGTGCACAGCTCACCTAGGTGAGGTGAGTGACTCCCTCCGAGAGCCACTGAATCCCTGAGAACTAACTGCCCACACACCAGTACATGGCACCTGCTCACCCTAGGAAAATCAACTCACATCACATGTTTCTTGAATTGAGTGGATGAGACAAAACAGGCATAATTCCAAGAGCTAAGTGCTAAATCTTACTGCAAATGGCAGGATATGGGATCTCCCATTTCCTGGTGAGGAAGGAGCACCCTGCTTAATGTTGTGACTCACAGTTATTTGTGCTTCTCTGTTCTCTCACTATGTTTTCACATTCAAGTCCGTAATTAAAATGAGGGCGATCCAGCTTTCCTCAGCGTCTTTCCCTAGTGAATTCAGTTCCATTGGTCATCCAGCAGCTGGGCTCTTGCCCCACATGCGTGAGAATAGATTGGCTGGTGTGCCCTTCTATCTCACATGTTTGCGGGCATCCTCTGGGGCCAAATTTTGGTGTTATTTTATAGACCTAGTTAAAAATCAGTTTAAAGTCAAAGTATTCAGGTCTTTCCCATCTAATAAGATTCTTGTACTTCAGGGACAATGACACTAAATGCTTATAATAAAAACTGCAGTTATATGTAGCAGATGGATGCTCACTACTAGACAGATAGAAATTCCTGTTGGTATAGTATGGGCTTCTAAAGATTCAGATCTGAGAGTGAGGGCTGCAAGTTATTTCCCAAAAAGTAGCCTTTAAAAGCTACTTAGTGACATTAACATCTACATGCATGTGTTACATTCTATAAATATGTAAAACCATACTTAGTTACAAAATATGGGAGAATAGATATGTACATGTCTATGTGGGGAAATGAGAGATAGAGGGCCAATAGAAAGTATCATCCTGTTATTGATTAAAAAACCCAACACCACAAGGGTGTAATTGTCTCTGTCAGCCACACATCAGTGCTGTCCTCATCAAAACAGCTCTGGAAGTTCTCCAGGGAGCGGGAACTTCATAAACGCTGTTTGAAGGAATAGAAGGAAGGAAATCCCACAAAACAAATAATGAACCAGAAGTGAAAATGGAAACATAGATACTGGTGCAGCTCTGCCCACACGAGCCTCCAGCAAAGGTGCACACAGAGGACTCTGTCAGCTCTGGGGATAAAGTGGATTATTTAATAAGTGACTTTGGAAACAAAGGGATACTTAGTGTTTGATCCACACACTGTGTATTACACATGGAGGGATTGGAGTATGGGCATTTTTGAGGGAATGATTTTAAGTGCTAGAGAAAACATCAATGGGAAAAATGTTTGGAGCAGGCTTTCCTGCTAAGGAGATCCTACAGTTCAGTAAAAAGAGATGCCAAAGACTGGCAAAGAACAAATTCACAGAAGAAACATGTCCATTTCCAAATGCTTTACATATGAAAATCTCTTCAAACTCCATCTCGATAAGAGGATTGCGGAGTGGGGGTACTGCGAGGTACTGTTTTCAGTACATCAAGCCAGTGAAGGTCAGTGTGACAACATGCTGATCATATGTGTGGCATGGGCACACTTTTCCTAACCTGTACTTCAGTGGAGTGAAATCTGAAGTATCTAACACACTTACAACACATTTCCTTTACCAGGCAATACATTTTTATTATAACTTTTTTATTTTGCTCTTCCCTGGGAAAAACTGATTCTCCCACCAGGCAACACATTTTAAGGATTCATCTCACTAATTATTATACCTGTAAAGGTATAAAATGGGATATTAATCCATTGTGGTATTATTTGCATAACCACAGACTTAGACAAATGTCTATTAATAGGGGACTAGCTAGATAATGAAGGTGCCTGAACAAACACACTGAGAATGTAAAGCTTTCCTATGCTCATTGCAACATCTCTGAAACTGATTTAGAAAAACAAACCAAACCAAACCAAACAAACTGGTGCCTCAGCATGCAATTCGGTATCATCTGTGTGAGAAGTAAGCTGTATGTGTGGGAAGAAGGATGTAATCATTTAATAGAGGAATACATGTAGATAGATGGATGGATGGATGGATAGACAGACAGACAGGTGGATGATAGAAGAGACTAGGCACACCAGTTTCCTCTGAGACTCATGAACAGATTGGAAGCTTCGGCTGCTTCTTATTTTTGTCTTTTAAATTTTGACTCATGGGAAAATAACATCTGACGAAAGGATCATTTTTAGGAAAAGAAAATCTTCCCATACAGGCTGCCTAAGTTGTTACAAAACGTGGCACTGGCTTTGCAAAGTTTTTGGTTCAGAACCAGAGTTGCCACATGGAACAAGGTTCCTGGGTGGGAGTCTGCAGAGAGTTGCCTGTCCTCGCTTGAGAACTAACGGCCCAGGCCCAGACACCTGTTCTTCCCCGCCCTGGGAATCCTAACCACTAACTCTTCCTCGGCAGCCATCACGGTTGTTCATCACGTCAAGAAAATAACCAATTAGCCATCCGACAATTCAGTAAGCCGTGTGTAACTCTGGGACGCAGACGATCTCTTTTATAACTGTGACAAATTAACTTTTAATTCCTTTCTTGAAGAGCCACACAGACCTCCCTGTCCTCAGTGTAAATGCCACCTAGCTGCTGATAGCCAACAGGACGAGGTGTCCAAATCCTTGTTCCTGACATTGGTCCAGTGTCAAGAACCAACCAGAGGAGGTTGCTGGGGCTAATTCCAAGATGCTCCCTGTGCTTCCCACCTTGTCCCCTCTGACTTGGAGTCAAATGCGCACCACAGGACTCTCGAAGCCGAATCTTGTAATTGCTTCCAATTTGTCTGTTTTGCTTTTGGCAATTAACAAACTGAAATCTTATCACGGAGGAGTTCATCTCATTTATAAGACTAGGTTTTTCCCGCCACTAAAATATGCAGGCGCTCTGTCCTTCACTACCGGCAGGAGATAAATGGCTGGTTTTCGTTGCTGAAGAATATATAATGGTTAAAAAGTCACTTTTTTCCTCCAGCTCTACATAAATCACGGAACTAGTCAATATTTAATAATGCTTGCCTTGGTCTGGAGTCCCTTGATCACCCCTGTCATGTGTAATAGCTCCCTCTCCGATATCTTTGACATAAAAGCTCAGCTTTACTGAAATGCTAACATGTAGAGGGTCATTACGGATCGACATTTACCTTAATCTGTGACTGCCAACCATGAACCGATAAATTCCAGCAGATTCCACTGGGAGAAATCAGTAAACTTCTCAGTGGAAAGAAGTGAAGGAAAATTCTGCCGAGGACAGAATACATTTTCTACAAGGGCTGCTTAGCAAATGGATTCTGACTTTTGAAAGTTCTCTCGCTGCCCAGCTTTGCAACATTTAATACCGTTTTGATGGTTTGAGGGACGGGGTGACAACCGAAGATGACAGGACTTAGAAGGCAAGCAGAGATGTTCTCTGCAAAAACAATGCAAGATTAAACACGAGGGGGACACGGCTCTTGCATTATTCACCCGGCTGCTTGGCGGAAATAGCTGGGCTGTCATGGGTCCGGCCTAAATGTTGCTTCTTTTTTCAAATCGATCATCACTCCTTCACCTCATAATCTTACGAGTGCTTCACAGCAGAATACATCAAAGCCCTGATTGCATAAAAAAGGGACAGGCCAATCTTTGAGGGGATCAGCTCAGCCTCCGCCTCAGAGTCCATTCACTGTGCTCATTTGCTTGCGGACACACTATGGAAATTTAGCGATACCTTCTTCAAAGCCGGCTTTCCTTTCTGTTCATGCTTTTCTACATATTGGGGATGCAATTAATTCTTCTAAGTAGACACGACACAGAAACAAACATGACAATCTGGGGGTGGGTGGGTACTGTATCCTTTTCACCAGAGTGTGCAACTGTTATGGCTTTGCCTATTCGCAACTGGTTAGAGAACAAATATTAAAAACCCTCCTGAATAAATTTAGCATGACTTCTTTGGAAAAAAGTGACAAAAGAAACAGTTACTAGAAATACAAATTAAAGTTTCTTGTAAGACTCATCGTGCAGTCCTTCCCTGGTGGGCTTACAATGAGTCATGCTAACAGAACCCAACTTACTGAAACTTGATGACATTTTCAAGGAACCCCAATAGCCCAAACCCAAGCTGCCACACCCGAACTGCCAGTTTAGTAGAGAATTAAGAAAATGACGACCAGAAATAATGTACCTGAGATAGAGTGCAGAATCAAAGCTGAAGTCTTTGCACAAATACTATTTTAGGCTTGAACTGAGTTTTAGGCAAGGAAAGGGCACACAGGAACTTTCCTCTGCTGGAGATCCAGTTCAACACCCCAGAGGTGACTCAAATCACAGACCGTGACAACCCCCAGCTATACGCTGATTGTCCACACCCATGGTTGTGCTTAATGTATAAGTTAGAATGTTAGAGACTAACCAGAAGTAATAATTAAACTGAGCTATTGTATCAATATGATAGAATAGAAACCATGTACATGTAGTCTTTCCCTTTCTTTCTGGAATCTTCTATTTAATAGTGTTGGGCTGGTTGAACACAGGCGGCTTAAATGCCAGAAATGAAACCACTTCTGTCCCGTGAACCTGACTTGGGTTTGCACATAAGAACCATCTTTTAGTTCTTAGTCACAGATTAAGGTAAATGTACAGTGTGCTGAGACACATACTGCTGGACCCTCCTACCCCAGCTGCGGCCATCTCTGCAGCTCTGGGGACCACACACTAAGCACAGCTTCTCTAACTCATCCACAGAGGTTGCATCTTTAGGGAAAATCCAGAAATGAAAATTAGACTAAAAGCAAGTGTTCAGGTACAGATAAACAGTTTTCTGATATTATTGAAGGTTTAAGAAGCGTACACAATTTACCTTGGTTTGCATAGAAACTTCCAGTAAAAAGAACTGAGTAGGTTAAGTGCCCATTAGGGTGAAGAGGTGCTTCCCACCGCACGTGGACTTCTCGGGATCCCTCAGTTTTGACAAGTACATTGACCATGCCTTCAGGCGGAACTTCTAGAGTCCGATTTTCTACCTGTGAGTGTAAAAAGATTTATTGTGTTTGCAAATAAAATAAGTGCATGCTTTGATTTGGGCAAATTTCTTCAAAGAATCTTTTTGCTGCAAGCAAACTAAGGTGACAGTAGCATCTTGTCAGAGTACCTCGTTTAGTCAGCAGGATCAAAGCATCCCTTGTGTTTTCTTCCTCCTGCTGCCGAAAGCTTAGAAATTCAGTTCCTGATCAAGACTGTGCATTATCATTTCCAGAGGATGTTGACTGGCTCATGGTGAGCCTGTGTCCATTGCTGTGTGTAACCACAGACTATTTTCAGAATTGCTTAAGAATAATTCCTTAGTGATACACGTGGTCTGTTTCCCTAAATTCCCAATTTCTTGATGGGAAGGATGGACTCTTGGGTTTGAGAAAAAGCCACCTATAGCCTCTACACATCCTCTCTGTCTCTCCCTCCCCCACCTCTGTCTCTGTCTGTCTCTGTCTCTCCCTTCCCCACCTCTGTCTCTGTCTCTCTGTGTCTCTCTCTCTGTTGACTGAGCTGTGTTCCTCTTTTGCCTGAAAATATGGCACCACGAGCTGAAAGTTCCCTGAAGAAGAAACTGATGTTTAACATAAGTTAAAAACTGACTAGGGCCTCTTGTGTTTGTGAAGTGTTGGGATATTGAATATCCATAGCCACGTTTATCTTGGGATATCTTTTGTTTTTTTCTTTTTTCTTTTCCTTTCCTTTTTTCCCTGGATAGTTATTTACCACCCAAGTCTGAACCTGATTCACATCCTCTTGACCATCAAGTGCAATCTCTGGAATGCATTCACTGAGCAGACTACAAGCCTCTGCCAATCCAAAAGCCAAGGATGTCTGTCATCAGACTGCATCCGGGATCCACAGCAAAGTCCTTGGCTTTTCTGTGGCCTATCTATCTAATGTTCCGTCACTGTATCTGGTGAGTGCATGGGTTATTTATTTATTTATTTATTTATTTATTTATTTATTTATTTATTTATTTATTTATTCTTACTTATTTATTCTTTGGTTCTGTGATTACAAAGCATTCTTGAATGTTTCTACATGTAACATGTTACTCAGGGCAGCCAAAATCCACATTTCTGTGTCATGTTCATTCACATTCAGCTCAGAATAAACTGCCTCTGATTCCCCATGGAGTGAGGCTACATTTTGCATGGACAGCTTCATGTTGGCATCAAGAAATGAATGTACCATAGTGACTCTAAACTGAGAAATAATCACATAAGAGTCTGCTGTGATATTAGACTGCCTGTGTAGAAAATGAAGAAGGACCCTGAAATAAAAAGGAGTCTTGACCTGGACAAGGGTCAGAAATGGCCTGATAACTGAGTACAATGACCAAGTGTCCAAAGGAAGACGAAGTTGTTGGCAAGAAAATAGAAAGGGGCTCATGATCTTCTTTTTCATTATCTTTTAATCTCTGGCTAGAACTCGATAAAATAAGCATCAGTGGATCTTATTTGACCTTCTAAAGTGTATTGACTATGTAGGTAATTTTCACCTTATTCTTTGTGTGTGCATGATTGAACCTGTATGTGCAGGTGCGTGCATGTATATGTGGGGGCCAGAGAGCAACTAAAGGCCCTGTTCCATAAGAGCTATCCAGGTTGTTTTTAAGTCAGCATCTCTCACTGGCCCAGAACTCGTCAACAGACTGGGCTTGCTTGGTTGAGCTCCCTGTTCACCCTCTTGTCTTAGTCATCTAAGAGTCGGGGCTGTCAGGGCACACCACCACCTTTGGGTTTTTAGATCTGGTTCTAGGGAACCAGAGAAAAGTTCTCATGCTTCTAGAGGAAGCATGTTACCAACTGAGCCATGTCCCCAGCCCCAGACAAACTCTAAACAGACTCATTCATGCCTCAAAAGAAGATGATCAAATACGAGTTCCCATGGCAGGCAAACAGTCTCAGTTCTGAAGGCTTTATTTGTTAAGGTGAATACATTTTTCCGGTTATGAAAATAAATGTGAAAAAGGCTGAGTGCTAATTTTTAGTAAGTGTGAGGTTGCAGGTGTTTTCTCTTTATCAGAGAGAGGCTCTGGGGTTCTTCGGAGCCCTGCTTTCTGCTCATGCCTTGCTTCAGACACAAACAGCTATGCACAACAAGCCATAAAAAGCAAGATTGGAAAAGCTCATTCATCAATTTAATGCTTCATAATAATGCAGCTACTTTAACTATGTGTATGGTTACAATTCCAATCATTATACAGAAAAGGGTTTAAAAGAATTCCAAACAAAATGATGCTCAAAAAATTGAATAATTAATGGTAATTCCAGATAATTCACTTAAAATACCCTAATTCAAGATAAACATCTTCTTAGGTTTCCTTCAGTGTTTGGATAAACATTCTGACTTTTACTCTACACTAAAATTGACAACTATACCATTTTTCTCTAAGAGGGTTCTTTTTTTAATTAAAAATATCTATGTTGCCTTAAAATGAATATGATGGAAAAGGCTCTTGGGAGGGTAGAAGTTGGCTCAGCTTTGACCTAAAATTTTTCTTCGAAATAGAAAACAAATTTGAGAACAAATGTGTGTGGAAACACAGAAACATTTCAACAAAATTTCCATTCTTAAGAAAACTCTTAATATGCTCCAGAAACTCTTAGGTAAGTAACATTTCATTTACTTTTTCATGCTAAGCTTTTAAAGGTAAGCATTATTGGGAAATCAGAGGCTTCACAGAACAATTGTGTTTCTGTGAAGGAGCCTGAAATAGCAGGTACAGGGTGGCTTCTTCCCTTGTTTTCCAGCATCTGCAGAAAGCCATACCTGTGCTTAGTTCTCTTTACAGATTTATTTTATTAGTTTTAATTATGCATTGGTGCGTGTTTCAGTGTGTGGGCATGGGCACGTGAGTATAGGAGCTCACAGAGGCCAAAAGACAATGTTGATTTGGCTGGGTCTGGGGTCTAAGGAAGTTGTGAGCAGCCTGATGTGGGTGTTGGGAACCAAACTCAGGTCCTCTGCAAGAGTGGCAATCGCTCATAAGCTCTGAGATATCTCTTCAGTCTCTAAAGTGTTTTTTTTATATTAGAAGTCAAATATGTTCTTTAAATGGACAATAATGGGACAAACCACAGGGGAATTAGATGGGAATAGAGCAATTCTACCTTAATCACCCCAAATAGCTCCCTTTGGTCAGGCTGGGATGACAAAGCCCATTGAGCTATCAAATCCTTACTCTATCAAAACAGTAAGAATATGAAATTGATGCACAAATGATTTATTTTTAAAACCCCTACTTTACCAAATTTGTACCATTTTATTTTCATCTTAAGGGCCATTTACCCATGTGAAGTGTCTACGATGCCACACACTTAAGACTGTGAAGCATATTTGTCTAAGGGCATGCTGAATAGTATTTTTCTGCATGTATGGATAACAGTGCTATTAAATTTGCAAAAGATGTAAAAAAAAAAAAAGCCCAGTGTATTTATGTCTCTAAAATGTAGAAGTCACTATTAAGGACGAGCTGAGTACAGAGAGAGAAGTGTCAAGCGGAGGAGATGGTTTTGTGCTCCACACCAGCATGGAGACTGGAATGGATGAGGACCTGGCAGGGTTGAGTTTACAACCCAATTTTCCTTTTCCTTCTTATCAGGGCCTGTGGTATTTGATTTCTAAGGTTAACATTGCTTGCCATCTGTACAGGACATAGAGCGATAACTGTGCCCCCTTGCTTAAGGTTCCTAGAATATCTTGGAGATGAGGTGGGGCAGCCAGAACCACAACTCACAGTTCACACTGGGAAAAAGTGCACATTTTTAAGCTCATAAGAAGTATTTCTTTGCTTTAATATATATTCTCTCTGTCTGTCTCTCTCTGTGCCTCTCCCTCTCTCCCTCTGTCTCCCTCTCTCTGTCTCTCTTTATCTCTCTCAATGGAAAAATGGAGAAGTGCTGGCCTCCTGCCATTCCTGCTTTTAAAGGTTAGTATCCATCAGAGGGGTTTTCACAATAAATGCTTGATAGCAATAAAGACTCAAACCCAGTCTCGCCAATATACTGCTTTACCTTCTTGGAAAACAACCCGTCTCAGAGCGGGTGGGGGTGGGGTGCTTTCAAAAGTAAGGGAGTACAAATTAAATTGAAGAGCTGAGGTTTTTTTTGTGGTAATATTTATATAATATACTCTTCAATGAGTACATTAAAATGATAGGGAATTAGCAAACATTGCCAAAAATACCTATGAGTAATTTTAATAAACTAATGAGTATTTCTCTGAAAATGAAACTAAATCTGTTTAATCAAGAAAAATACATATAAGTGTAATGTATTATTTTTATACTAAATACTACTATGCTGGTCTGTGGTGGGCATACACTATTAACTGAATTTGGAGAATGGTGTTAGAAACTAAAGGATAATTTTTTCATGCTTTTAGCTGTCTATGAAACAGAGATACACATTATAGACTTGTGAAATGTGAGCATCAAACCCAGATATTAATAAAATTTTAAATATCATTCTTATAAATCTGTATCTGATTCATAAAATAAAAATAGTTTATTCTAAGAGATGAAGTAAGTTCAATTCTTTAATTGATTAATCTGCTTGTCAGACAGCAATCTAAGTATATTCTGGGAATTAGAGATTTCAATATTCACTTTTTAATCATAAATGTAGTTATTAGGGCATCATTAAGAAGAAAAACATGTACCTTTCATTTATCATCAAAGCAGGCACAATTGTACGTATGTCTATTAAAGCAGCCAACTTATTGTTTATTCATGAATATATCTATTCTTTCCCCAGATGTACACACAGCCCTGAAGTCTACATTGAACTTAAAACAACTCTTAAATGAACTTTAATAAAAGGAATAATCTGCTCTGGTGCTTGACAGGCTCTCACTTATCCCTTGAAACCTAGCATCACTCAGCAGTTCACATATCCCAGAATGTAAATTCACACACTCACCAATGGGCCCATAGCACAACCCTTGGCTGTGCATGCTTGGACTTGAAAGGTGTGCAGGCTCCCAGGATCAAATCCATAGGCATGGCAGCTGAGTTCTGAAGAATTGTGAATTAATGCATTGTCTACATATAACTCGTAAGTTATGATCACACCTGCAAAGAGAATAATCAGCTTTTACTATGGCCACAAGACAATAGCAAGTAACTAGTAAAGCAAGCACCTCCCATTATGCTTTCCTGGAGTCACCAGTCACCCACCCTGCTCTAAACACCCACTCTGCTCTAAATCACCCACCCTGCTCCAGATGCTGCCTCTTCTCAAAGGATAAGGCATGCTTTACTTTAAACACCATGATGTTAAGCTACTTAGCACAGAGAGAATGATAGACTCCAACACTCTAGAAGGAAAAGCCTTCTTGTTTGAGGCCACATCAAATGCTATCATTTATGTCCCAGGCCAAAAAAGACAAAGTGGACACATTCATACTTGTATTTATATGTGTTCTAAAAGCATCCTTAGTAGATGCTTTGGCTATAAAGGGGACCTTATTTGTTTGCCACTGCATAATAAGTTACTCAAGATCTATCTGTCATTGTTCTAAGTGGACACAGCCTCACTTCTCAAACCCTTTCCTCCCAGCTTGCCAAAAGGAAGGTGCTGTATCATTAGCCTGCCTTTATAAGAGAAGAGACTGAGGGATGGAGCTGATGTGGGTTGCAGATAAGCACTTGAGTTTGGATTTGTATCTAAGTGATTTGACTCTATCTTCTTTCCAACATTAACTCATCTATGAGCTATCTTACTGTCATGTTTTTCACAATTGGGTTAGAGAAACTTCTAATGGACCATGCAGTTTTTCATCAAACTAGAAGAAACAGGAGACATTGGAGTGGCCATCAAATGGAAGGACTCTGTTTACTCAAGCAAAATGTTCTTATGAAAAGGAACATAAGAGTCAGCATAATCAAGTTTGTTAGAAATATTGACTCCCCAAACTTACTTAACATTGCACCATGGGAAACAAAAGTTTGACCATGTTAAATCAGAACTACTATCAAAATGAGATTAAGCTCCAGAAGTCCTCCCTGAGTCTACTCTCCAGGAATCACTCTAAGTGCCCCCTGACCATATATGACTGTGGTCAGATGCTCCCCATAGTCTACAGTACAGCCCCATCACAGCTTTTAACTACTCATCCCACTGTGGTGTTAATATGCCATGTTTAATTGCCTGTTTTCCCCAGAATACTGTAGGCTCTCTCAGGAAACTATGACTCTTCCTTATCTGTTTATTTCTATAGCTAAGCACCATGCCTCAAATGTGGGAGGCACATAATGAAAAGGGACAGAGTAAATACATTTACATGCAGCATAGGCAAACACTCAGCATCTAATACAGGGTAATCATTCACAACCCTTGGAGGAAGAGATCATCTCACCTGAAAAGACAGTTAGGAAAACATTATTAAAGAAGAGCTCAAAGAGCAGATTTTAAAGAAGAAGCCTAGCAAAGCCAAGGGTAGTAAGGAAGTCAATGAAAGCTGTTTTCCAGGAGCCTGAAATTGAGGTATATGGCCAGAGAGATTTGGTAAGCATCTGTAGAATAGACCCAATCTTCATCCATCGGCAATAATGTTACTCATGGAGCTACAGTACTAGGGCTTTTTCTCTCTACTATCTGTCCTGGGATGGAATCACTCATCTCTAGACCTGCTCACAGCAGTTTGCCTCCTACTCATTTATAAGAATGCTCATTGACCTTTGGCCTGACATATTGCTGACACAGCCTCTTTATTTTTCTTTTAATTCATGTGTGTGTGTGTGTGTGTGTGTGTGTGTGTGTGTGTGTGTGTGTGTGTATGTGTGTGTATGTGTGTGTGTGTTACACAAGGCCCTGCATTCAATCCCCAGCATCAACACACATCAACAATTCAACAAATGAACAATTCCTTATATAAAACACCCTCTGTCTTTTCTACCTAGCACATTTTGTCTTTCATTAAAATTATCTTTTGATCAATACATCCTTTTAGGCTCTAAGATTTTTGAATGAGTTAGTATTTTAATGCAGTTCTTGTTATGGCCCATTTTTCCTTCTTGAAGATAACTTTTTACAGTTGAACTTTGTGAGTTTCCTCAGTTTCTACATTTTGAGGAAGAAGTCCTTATTTTCCCACCATGCACCATTTGTGGCTCCACAACACGTATGGCCACAGCCTCTGCTAGCATCCATTCTCCTTAGCACTTAGTGTGGCCCAATATGGAACACTAGTAAAAGTAAATACCACTTAACAAACAAAAGCACACATGGACTCCTCTGTCAAGGAAAACACGGACAGTGGAGACCCCGTCAATAAATAGAAAACCAGGGGAAAAGAGTGAGAGGGAGTCATAGTGTCAAGAGCAACCAAAAGATTAGAGTGTGTTAGGAACTGTGAAAAACACCCATCTAGCACCCCAGGCCCCCAAATAACCCCATGTGCATGACGGATACTCTTAAAGAGAAGCTGAGACCTTGGCCGTTTTTCAACAGAAGTAGAAAATACTGAAATCAACATTCCCCTTTCCTTAAATAACTACAGAACAGAGAATTTCTTTTGCCCTAGGATCCTGTGCACAGTATTTCATTTATCTGACATACTGGGAAGTAAGATATTTTATGAAAAGTAAATTGTGGATATAAGTAATTGAAATTCCTTAGGCATGAACTTTAAAATCTTAATCCTTTTTAAAGATTTGGGAGTAAATTCTAAGCCCTCACTGGTTTTCTCACAAAGGGTATAAGTAATCATTTTGGGAAGAGTTAAACTGTGGTTGTGGTCAACGAGAAATCTGTTCTCTAATTTAGTGACACCTGGGGGACCACTAGGGGCCTCCCAAGCTTTAGCCCACAAGCATCACTTTGAAGTCACGTCTCACCAACGTTTTGGCTTCTCTTTTGAGTTCTTCATTCTCTTTCAATGACAATTCCTCTAGGATTTTTTTTTGTCTACCTGACTCTATCAAGTCAACCCCCAGAAATTCATGTCAAGAAACCAAGTATCTATGACATGTATTGAGAGAGAGATTCCTGAAGATGGGCATGAGCTAGATGAACTGTGATAAAACTGAGCATTTTGACAGTTAAGTCAACTATGCAGAAATCTTAGTATCCAGGTGTGACATGGAGTGGGTGACGCTGCAGTCTAACTTTAGTGTACAAGTGTTCCCACACATTCATGCACATATTCATACACACACATACTCTCTCTCTCTCTCTCTCTCTCTCTCTCTCTCTCTCTCTCTCTCTCTCTCTCTCTCTCACACACACACACACACACACACACACACACACACACACACACGAGTTACCATGTATCCTACAGACAAACCATCCCCGACAGCACATGCAGGAGAAACTAATAGACTAGAACATGATTGCAGCACTTTGCACATTGGGTCAGTTAGGTTTCCTTTAAGTCATCTAAATCCTTCTTGACACTCCCCCTACTTTATCTACCAGTTGACTCCACCCCAAATTTCTCTCTGCCCTATTTCCATGATCACCTGGACTTTTTAAACATTATCTCAGAATACTTCCGGATAACGGCCACTTAGGTGTCTTCATGTGTTTGTTATGAGCTGTCGTATACACTGCAGCCAGGGAGGGAGGCTCTGAACTGCTGCTATCTGGTCACACCACGCACTATCAGTGATCCATCACGCCTGCCCCCAGTAACAGAAACAAACCGCCGCTCCTTCTCGGAACAGGGATGGGGCCGTGTAAGCCAGTCTTGGGAAGGAAAGGATCATGGCATTTGTGTCTCTGCATATTCTGCCCTGTAGTCCAAATCTTACCAACAAAGCACCAGCTTTCAAAATCAGGGCTTTTGTCATGGTTCAGAACCTGCCTCATCTACATGTGTCTCCCACTCACAGAGACTGAAGCAAGCTTTGGCATTTCCTCCCATCCAGGTTATGCTAGGCCAAGCTCCATCATGCCCTGAGTTATGGTTCTAAAGACAGGTTTTTTTGATAAATTTAATGGACAAGAAGAAGTACAATTTGGAAAGAACACTCTTTTTTTGAGGGGCGGTGTCCTTGTTGGTTAAATATGTTTACTATCATGCATTAATTATATAGAATAATGGATTTCATTGTGACTTTTTCACACATTTGGGATGAATTTTGATCCTGGTCCTCCCTTTTTGTCCTCTTCCCCTCAGCCACTTCTCCTTCTGCTCTTCTCTCCGTTTCCTTATTGACTAAGTAAGCTTCATGTGGCTGACAAAGGCGTGGGAGGGACCACTTCCCGGAGCACTAGTCCGTATCCAGTTATGTAGGCAAACTTCATAACTGCCGTTTTTAGTAGCAGACTTTTTTCTAGAAATAACATTAATAAAGGAAGAAACACTGTAAACTTAAATCTTAAAAACATACTTATAGGAGGCAATAAATAAAAATTCGCTATTATCACAATGACTTAAATTTCATCGATCTTAGGGATTTAAACTGAGTGTGAGGTGCTAGTACAATGCAGGAGACTTTTCACACTTCAGCTGAAGTCGTGTTTTCCTTCTTTAACTAGAATGGTGGATATGCATGAATAGTTTTGGGGAAAGCTGAAGGCTAGTTCTTAAAACAGCAAGTATTTAAAACAATTTACAGATACCCAGTGAGCCCACCAGGCTCTAGCAGATACTTCCAAACCCGTGGTCACACCAACAGCATTGGTAAAACTTGGTGAGTCATAAAACAAACAAAAAGACAGGGATCTTGGAAAGGGACTTTTAAGCAGGAGTTTTTAGGTGGGTATGATAGGTTGGATGTGAGACTAATAAAAATGCCTTATACATAAGTATGGTTGCCAAAGAACAAATTTAATTAATTAAAAATTGTTTAAAGCAAAACATAAAAACTGGTGGCTTGTTTTGTGGCAGCCATTGGGCTGCATTAGGTGTGTGGACTATGTCCTTTAATACTGACAACTCCCGGAAACCAGAACTTCTATGGATACTGTCAGGAAGATGAGGGAGGACCATACCACTCACAAGCATGCACACAAGGCCCAGACTGGCAAGCTCACTCCACTGTTGACACTATGTTTTTGGTTAATCTCTAAATTTGTAGTAATTTCCTATCAATAAAGACCAGCTGGATATGCAGTGACGCTA